AACATATAATTAAAAAAAACAAAGAAATGCTATATGCTATTTTCTATGTTGACTGTCAAAAATGGGACTCTTTGGGTGTCTCTGGCGCTCTAGTCCTCCTCAAGAAAAGTTTAACTCCACGTTTTTCAATCCACTCATTCAAATTAATTAGTTTTTGAACTGACTGTTGTGAGACGAACATTTTGGGATGTGAGCCAGAGACCGTTGATTTAATATAACTGTTAAGTTTAAATTACTTGTGTATTGTCTCAGTCACTTTTCAAAGCTTTCTTATGTTTCCACACTTCAAGGGTCTGGATCTAGTTTAACTACGGGTGGATAGACACAATCGTTTCCAGTTTATCCACCTAGATCTCCGCCGAAGTTACTCAATTAAAGGCTGGAAGAGATTGTGAGCCAGCAATCTCGTAAAGTGGCTATTATGTCGGTCTCGTTTGAGTTTTTTGGCGTTCATCGAGGAAAAAAATTGACCACTCCTCAATGAGACTTTTGAGGGCCTAAATATACACAGTGCAACAGATATTCCAAATAAATGTAAACTGGTTTAAATCCCGACTGACAGGAAGTGGACCAGTTGGTTACTTTGAGAGTGCAGCTGAGGTGTTGAATTCAAAGTAACGGAGAATATCGCAATTTTTAAGCGATTTTAGTTTTTTTATCGTATTTTATCTGCTAATTTTATCATATGTTCCACATTTTTTTGGTGAAGTGCACGCGATCATAACGTCAATTAGCATGCGCAATATAAGATAATAAATTATTGCTATTATTATTTTTATTATTATTATTTAAAAATAAAAACGTTGAGTGGTAGCGTGGGAACATGGACCTGAAAGAGATAACCGGGCTTAAGATCCAGCACTCTAACCACTCGAGAACACTGTCTCCTAAATTATTGTAATAATGTAATAACTTTATAATAAATTTGTCGTAAATCATGTTCAGGCGTCAGGTGGAGATCTGCTGCATGTTAATTCTCTTTGTCCTCGTTAGGCAGAGGATGAGTTCTAACTGTTAAGAACAAGCAATGTTTCAAATTAAAACCGTACAAGAGAGCACGTTCTCAAGAGGGGAATATGGTTTAACCTTTGCTCATGCTATAATTAGTTTGTTCAGACTGTTTCTTTCGGGCTATAGCTTTGTGCGGCGTATTTGCGACAATTGCCTCCTGAAACGCTCTCCTGAGGACCAAAGACATAGACATTTTCTTTCCAAATAATAGGAGGCACCATGCATGACAATAGAAAAATTACTTCTTAAGATCCGTCCAGATCACGGCCAGGGGTATCTAAGATTCCCTGAGAGAGTATACCAGGCAAATTGATCTTTCTGGAACCCCCTAATGCAACCCGCTAGTTCTCACCACTAAAACTTTTAGCACCCATCAAAGAAAATTCAGGTATCAGATAGGCCTAATCATCTATCCTCGTCATAATAAATCTTAAAGTTATGATCTTCTAACCAGGACAAGACGAACTGGGAGGTGATTATTACACCTCATCCTTTTCCTGCCAGTAAAGGAAGCGGTCGGACTTACCATGACGATGGTAATGGTAAACCCTTATGATGATGAGTGGAACAAAAATCGCAGCAGCCAGTGCAATTCCGGTCACGGCACCTGGTGGTAAGGATTTCTTCGACGCTACAATCAATCGAAAAAAATTAAGTTTTAAATTTTGCGATATAATGCACTATTTTTAAAGATATTTACTAGGTCTTTTGCTTGGAACTAGTCACTGGAAGAGCAAATTATTCAAACGATGTCTTCAGCGATTAGGGGTCAGGTTACAAGTCGACCGCTGAAGGTTACCATAATCCAGGATATTCCACGCAAAGAAAATTCAAAAGGTACTTACTACTTCTCTCTCCCGATTCATTTGCAATTTTCAATACAAATGTCGTCGCCGGTTGACTTGTCGATATTGCTGGCCCGGGAAAAGATACTGAATATTCCGCTTCAAATCCACGATTAACTGTTTCTCCAGGATGGAACATCACAAACATTTGGTTTCCAGACGAGAACTGAGGCTGATTCCAGGTCGACCCCTGACAAAATTGCCTTAGTAAAGGCGAACTTATTGACCCACCATCATAAAGCTCCACATAAGAACAAGAGTTCGAACAAGAACTGACTGAACACTCACTTAACACAAAGTCTGTAAACGTAAACTTTACTATTTTGTCAGCTGGCGCAGTAATGTTCCAGGTACAATTTATGGACGCGGTATAGTTACTCTTTGGGTAGTTTGTGCTGCTTATTTTGCCGCTGCCTGAGAGAGGAATTGCTTCCTTGGGACAAACTGTAAACAATGAAAAAGGAGCATGTGAGTGTGGGAGAATAAGCATAGGCTGTTCCGGGCGTTCAGTTGGTAAAACGCAATGCCATATTGAGTAGCAATAGAGTAGCAGAGGAAAGAAAAAACGAGGGAGGTGTGGGTCATGTTGTGTAATCACCTCCTCCTTTACCGACTAGACCCAGACCTCACTCTCTTTTTCACTACGCCGCTACTATTTTGCCTCTGTCTGTTTTGCTCTGTTTGACTAACTAGAACTCTGGGAATAGGCCAGAATGAACATGAATTGGTGATAGATATATGGTTTCTTTCACAGATTCCGTCAAAATCCACATGGTAAGAACAAAAAGGTGGCAGGCAAGGCGCAGCCAAGTGTCACTGATGACCACAGTTTGACATCATATGGCATCTCTTCCTGAACAGACACACGGCAATGTGGAATCTAATTGTTTCATATACGATGAAGAAGCAAATTGTTGTAAACGGTGATGTCATTTATGCCTCTGTTCTCCAATAGGTGATAGATAACAACCAATAAAAATGCTTACCATATAACTGTTGATTCGACCAACGGTCAAAGTCTATACAAACCAAAGCGGCTCAAAACCATATCCTTTACAGTGATATATTCCAGTATGGCTTTTATAAGGGAGTAGCCCCAAGGCAAGAATATGAATATTTGAAACTCGTTACAATGATCAATTTACATTATCAGCACAGTTAATGAAACCAAATTATCTTCTTATAATCCGCGACCGATGCAGCACTACAGTTTCTTTGGAAACTAACCACCTTCATTCAATTAAGGTTGGCATGGCTTCCCAGTACATCACTGCTTACACTATACATCAGAGATGTTTGAATTCACCTGGAGTTGATAACAAAGAGAACTTCCACTCTTAATAACTAAGCTCCTTATCATTACTTGGATTGGTGAGTTTATTGCATGTAAAATATTCTCTCAGCGAACTCTTAGATCTCACCAAGTTGTTTTCTCTACTTACTTGGAGGACTGTAGTTCAACAGCTTGTAAGTTGCCCCAAATCCGTCATAATCCATCTTTGTATCATCGGACACAAACACCACCCTCAAGCTTTCGTTCAGTGAATAAAATTTTAAAGGAGTAAACCTTGGTGTACCACATAGTTTTCCAGGTAGCGCTTTATCACTGAAGCTATTCTGAACTTCCAAATAATCACACAAGCAAGCAGTGCCATTACAGCCTTGTAGATTATAGTCTGGTATTGTGAGTTCAACACGGTATCCTTGTTTCCCCATAATCTTCCAGCTACATGTCTGGTTGAATGGATAGTTTCTTGGATTAAAGGGAGAGGAGAAAGAACCTGATGTTTCATCGAGGATCAAATCTGCTGGGAACACTGAAAAAAGGAACAAAGACTGTGTCAGGCTTCGAAAACTGTTTTTGTTTTGAGTTTAAACTTTACTGCGGTCAGCTGCTTTATTTTCAATGCTGCCCTCAGCTCATTTTCCATATGCTGACGGGTTTAAACATAAATCAGTGTAATGTACATATTTCAACACATTCAATAATTTTTTCTCCGGACAATAGCTGTTCATAGATCGTCTACCTCATTAGTTTCAGGTTACACTCAACAAACTTTTCGCTTAGTTCAATAGGGTACATGCTCAGTACACTTCTATGCTTCCTTCATAAACTACTATAGAAGAAAAGCTCTTACGTAAATCTCCATCTATTGCCTCAAAGGTTGCATTGAACCCTTTGTCTACAAGGCCGGTGCGAGATTCAAATCTCACTTGAATGAAGTTTCCCTCGGAGTACACAGGAGGGGGAAGCTTTTGACCACAGATCTTAAAGTCGTCAGGATTTCCTCCATGAGAGGCAACGTTTGTGATAAAGACTCGGGCACTATCTGCTGCCGCACCAGCACAGTCATCGTTTTCACCTGCTACCAGGGTAAAGCTCAAGAAGGTCAGTTTGATGATTTTCCCACCAGGCACCGTGATATTCCAGGTACAAATCCTACTTGTGTCATAGTTGTCGGGAAAATTGGGGCTGGAAATGTGACCACTAGTAGCATTAATGGTTTCTCCAATAGGGCTGCAGGCTGAAAAAGAGAGGAGTTTTCATTCACTTTTTTTATATTTTTAATAACTGGACACCAAACAGTTCCAATGAAAGGGGGTCTCAATAGGGTGATAGCTTTTACGGCTAACGCTAAAACCTTTAGCGATTCTACGGCTAACGCGAACGGTTAATATCATTCCATTTTTGTACTAGAATTTATTTTTTAACGGTTAACATTGTTTACGACTAACGGTTTAAGTCTGTCAATTTTTACGCCTACTGGGTCAATTTTTTGGCCGTTTTACGGCTATCGGTTAACCCCTTGAGACCCTCGTGAAAGAGAAAGTTAAACGCTCGCTCTCTCAAAAGAAAGTGAGAGTAACTTAGAGTGATCGTGGTGAGCGGCGAAAGTCTGTCTTTCACCTAAAAATGTAGAAGTATGAAATAAGTTGAAACTTGGGGCATGATCGGTTTCGTAACGCGTCGAGACCAATTTCGCGCACAAAAATATCTGATGTTTATAAAAGAGGATATTCAGAATAGAGTTCACAGGGTACTCACCACCGGCCATTGTGGACTCATATTTTGCTTCAAATCCACGATCAACTTTTTTTCCAGGATGGAACATCACAAACATTTGATTTCTAGTCGACAACTGAGGCTCTTTCCAAGACGACCCCTGGCAAAATCGCCCCAGCGAGGGCGAACTTGTTGACCCACCATCATAAAGCTCCACATAAGAACAAGAGTCAGAACTAGAGTTCGAACAAGGACTGGCTGAACACTCACTTAACACAAAGTTAGTAAACGTAAACATTACAATTTTGTCAGCTGGCGCAGTAATGTTCCAGGTACAATTTCTGGATGCAGTATAGTTACTCTTTGGGTAGTTTGTGCTGCTTATTTTGCCGCTGCCTGAGAGAGGAATTGCTTCCTTGGGACAAACTGTAAACAATGAAAAAGGAGCATGTGAGTGTGGGAGAATAAACATAGGCTGTTCCGGGCGTTCAGTTGGTAAAACGCAATGCCATATTGAGTAGCAATAGAGTAGCAGAGGAAAGAAAAAAACGAGGGAGGTGTGGGTCATGTTGTGTAATCACCTCCTCCTTTACCGACTAGACCCAGACCTCACTCTCTTTTTCACTACGCCGCTACTATCTTGCCTCTGTCTGTTTCGCTCTGTTTGACTAACTAGAACTCTGGGAATAGGCCAGAATGAACATGAATTGG